TGTCCAGCTTTTCACCCACCAGCACCCCCAGCTCCTCCACAGGGCTGTCGTCCCCGCAAGGGACAACACAGGGGGGCGATCCATGACCCCGAGGTGCCCAAAAAGAGGGTTACGCCTGCTCCGCTCGCACAGCCGCGTGAAGAGGGTGAGGAGGGCTCGTGTTCCACAGGAAAGCGGCTGCGGGTACCAACGGGATCAGCCCGAGGAGCAGCAGCTCAGGGCTGCGACGAGGAGACTGGGACAGCGAGAGGGGGGGATGCAGGTCCCTGAGAGCGCAAAGGAGACACAGCCCAGCGTGAAAGCGAGCTCGTGGGCGCCCAGGCAACTCCGTGCTCCTTCCCCACCCCGTCTCCAAAACCAGCCCTTCCTTCCCGCCGGCTTTCGCATCACCCCTCGTGCCGAATTCCCTTTGCTGAGCCAGGAGGCGAGGGAAGCGGTTCGGATCCTGCCGGCGTTTCGGCGGGGGTTGGTTCAGATCCCTCCCTGCGGCGCCGTGGCCTGCCGAGACCCCCAAGCGGGACCAGCCCTAAAGCCTCCAGCTCTGCTGCCGAAATACCGAGGGAGGAGTCCCCCCCTCCTGCCGAGTACACCCTCCCAGTTCACCCCCACCGCCCCTACCCTGCGGGAGATCTTAATCTTCTTGGTGCAGCCGTAGAACAGGTCTTCAAGGGAGAGGTACAGATCCCGCACGATGGGGGGGTCTTGCTTCATCGCTCCTCGTCCTCGCAGCCCTCCGAAGGGCAGGACCAACTCCGAGCCGTCCTCGGCAAAGAACTCTGCGTGAGCGAGCAGAGGGGGGGGTCACTGCACACAGTTGAGGTTGGGGGGGGATCTCCTGGGGTCTCCTTATTGTGGAAGCTGCAGACTCTAAATATGCCACCCAGAAACCTCCCCTCTGCTTCTGCCTGGGCCCACCTTCCTCCTCCAGCTTCTGCCTGGGCCCACCTTCCTCCTCCAGCTTCCGTTTTCGCCTTGCTCAGCCTCGCCAACCCGACCCTTCTTTTTAATGGAAATCCTCCAAGTGTACGCCAACCTCGCCAACCCGACCCTTCTTTTTGATGGAAATCCTCCAAGAAAAGGGTCGCAGCGGTAGCTGAGGAGGGCCGACAGCCTGAACGCGCGCCCCCAGGCTTCTCGCCCACCTGAGACTGGGGGGAAGTCAGGATCTGACCTCCAAGCACCAGGACCAGCAGCCCCAGAGGGGACCCAAGAGTAGCTGGGCAGGGCAACATCCCCGTAAAGCTTAAAGCTCCGAGCTGGCGGTGGCCACGGCACCCCAGCAGCCACAAGCAGGGCTGGGCCACCCCCCAGAGCCCCCCTACCTACCTGCAAAGGGGTTGTCTCCGCCAAAGAACTCCCTGAAGACTTTGTCAGGGTTGTTGTGAAACACGTAGCCGACTGTCCAGGGGTTCTCGCCACCAAACTCCAAGGGGATGCCGCCTTTGAGCCCCTCTTCTCCAAACTTGTCGTAGATGCCTTTCTTCATGGCTTAGGGAACAAGGAGGAGTTGGGGACAGCCATGCTCTCCCGCGCTGGGGGAGAACCTGAGATCCGGGCTTTGGTAGGATGGAGGTTCCTCGCCACCTTGGGAACAGCACTAGGTGGGATGGAAGCAGGAGCATACGCCAGCTCTCAACCTGGCTGTGGGTCGCAGGTGATGCCACCTCCCTGGCCACGCCAGCGACCGGCAGGGGGAGGTGGTTCAGACCTCAGCAAGCCTCTGGCCACCTCAGAGGTGCTTCACCCCTTGTCCAGCCCCCTCCTACCCCTAAACTCCGTAGAAGAAAACCATCTCCCCACTTACGGTCGCTGAGCACATCGTAAGCCTCCGCCAGCTGCCTGAACCTCTTCTGCGCCCAGGGCTCCCGGCATTTTAAAGGATGGTTCTTCAAGGCCAGTCTCCGATAGCTACGAAGGGAAAAGAAGGGGAGAGCCCAGCCTCGCAGCGCCAGGAGTCCCCCACCCCAGGCTGCTCCCCCCCAGGCCCTTTCCCCACCTCGGGCCCCCGCTGTGGAGGAGGGAGGGGGCGGGGAAGGAGGCAAAGGGCAGCCGCGGCCAAGCCCCACCAGCACCGTCCGCACCCCTAGGCCGCCCCCCAACCCCGGGGCTTCCCCCCCGCAAGGCCAAAGCCCCTCACGCCGCCTTGATGTCGGCGCCGGTGGCGCCGCGGCCCAGCTCCAGCACCGCGTAGTAGTCCCCCTCCATGGCTGCCCCGTTGCTACGGACGCCGGGGGCGGAGGTGGAAGCACTTCCGGTCCCAGCCGCCCGAGGCACGCTGGGAGCTGTAGTTCGCCCCGCGCGCTTACACACTGCGGCCTCCTCCATCTCAGGGGGGTTTTATTCTTTTTACAAATAAGTTTGCTTGGAAAATTTATTTTGCACAGAGGCGGCCTCAAAGCCGTTGTTTTGTTCCACGCCGCCCCGTCGCCTTCACCCCTCCCCGCCCCCAATTTATTTTTATTTTTTCCTCCCCGAAACAGCAGTTTTCCAGCAGTGAGGGAGAGAAAAAAGAGTTACAACACAAGATCCTCTCTCATAATTTTTAGTTCTTCGAGACGTTAAAGTTGTGTCGCAGCAAGAAACATCACACGTCACCAGAAACCTCCGTACAGAGCCCCGCTGTCACCACCGGGCCCCGCTCCGACCCGCCGTACAGGGAAATAAGCTTGGAAGAGCGACTTTGACACCTCTCTCCGCTCTTTGGCCAGTCCAAAAACTTAAATGTCAGAAAGCTGGTATCTCCTCACTATCCCGTCTCTGCAGCACGTGTAAATTTGCTTTTCCCAAGAAGCTACCTGAAAAAGAAGGGAGACAAAATAAAAAAAATGTTATTTAAGCACGGTATTTCCCAAGCGACAGTTCAAAGTAGAATTCTCAAGAGATCGGCTTTTCTTTTGGGAAGAGGAGGAGAGCATCTCCTGAAACAGCACTAGCAGGTTTTAAAGGACAGCTCAACGTTTCACCAGGAGCTCAGGCAGCAGGGAAGTGCTCACACAAGAGTTCCTCTGTTCGATCCGAAAGGGAAAAAAAAAAAACCCACGACTTTTTCCACACTTTTCTCGTGTTTTGCTCACGTCAACGAGTCGTGCAGGTCAAATCTCAGCCTCTGCGCGAGGCTGAGTGTTAATCTCGAGGGGGTGTGTTGGCTAAGAGAGGGAGAACTGCGCCATGGAGCTGGAATGGGTTAAAAACAACAGCTCGTTCCCACCAGCACCACCAGGCTGGGAACCCAGGCCACCCTCCCCGGCCTGCGCAAGCACCGCAGGGCGCCTGGAAACACAACCCGCCCCGTTTTCTGGTCTCGAGCCACCGCAGGGACAGGTCAGGCAGTGCTGCACAGCCGGCTGCTGCTTGTACCCCGATGATCCTCCCGGCACAATTAATTCCCACTTTACAGAAACACAGTTCAGCCAGAGCTACTCCCAGCAGCGAAGCTACTCCACCGCTTCGCTCCTGCTCCCGCACGATGGAGGTGACGTCACCATATCCCACAGAAGATTTGTTTATGCAAACTATTAAAATGTTCAGCTAGGGGGGAAAAAAAAAAGCTTAAAGTCAACTGTGTGAAGGATCCCGTTGTGTGGGCTGCCCAATCCCGAGATAAAGGCAGCTGCCTGCTACTTGGCGTCCCCCTTTCCCTGCACCCTTTATCTCGGGCAACCCGCTGCACTCCCTACCTTGTACACGGGGTCGCAGTCAGCTTCTGTGAGGTCGAGGACATAGTCGAGGTCTTGCTGAAGGATAAAGCAGGTTCCGTCACCTACACGAGCAGAAGAGATACCAAGCAAGGAAGAAACATCAGGCAATGAGTGAAATAATCACAAACAGCACTAACAGGCCCACCAGAGACACGGTACGGAGCCCCCAGGAAGAGGGAAAAGTACTGGGAGGATGTCAGAGGGACAGGAAAAGGCTCTAACCATCGAGAGGGAACTTAAGAGGCCCTGTTGGAGGAAGACAGAGGGGGGAAAAAAGAAAATCAGAAGGCAAAAAGCAACTGTGTGGTATCGCTCCTACTACATCCCCCTTTTGGCCTCGGCCCCTGCCCAGCCAGCACTTGTACGCAAGAGGGCAACGCCCCAAACCCCACAAAAACTCCTCAATTCGGTTACACAATTTCTACTGGCACAACACAGCACTTGAGTTACCTTGGCTGGCAACAAACCCGTCTCTGTAGGGGAGCAGCGAAAGCACGGGCGCTCCTGACCTGTGGATGACCTGGATGGGAGCGCTAGAAAATGGAATGGGAACAAGGGGTGAGTATTATGGTCTGGAGCCAAGGGCCCATTCCAACATGCGAACACTGAAGGAGGAATGCACCACCCGGCTGCCCCCCAGCTCAAAACTTGCCTTTGACACCAGTGAAAACCCATTTAGAGCAGCCCTTGCCCTCAGTGACAGTTCCAGTCCTGCGCTGGAACGAGGATCAGGGTAGAGCAAGATCTCACCAAGACGCTTCAGTCTTATGGGTGAAGGAGGGCGTCATTTTTCTCTACATAGTTTAAAAAAGAACAAATCTCAGAGGTAAGGCTACGCCAAGAGCACCCCCGGCCACACATCAAGACTGAAAAGCTTTCAAGTCGCTTCAGGAATCTGCACAGAGTCTATTGTCTTTCCAGAGAACATCCCATTAGATCACCAACCTTAGCAAAAGGACCCTCCCCAGCTCTCTCAAAGGCTGCAAGGGGCTCAGAAGCTCACGGTGCCACGGCCTGGGCTGCAGCCACCCTTCAGAGGGGGCACTGTCTGCAAACGCCCTCACCCTGCTTCTCTTTTCCCAGCCCAAAACCCAGCGGTCCTTCAAATACCTGCAGCCCCAGGCGCTTACTTTGTGTTTCTCACGTCCAGCTGATAGATGTTCCCATCCTGAGTCCCTGCGAGGATGTAGGTGCTTGAGAGGAATGTGCAGCAGTTGAAGGCGTCAGACCCGACAAAGAGGAACACCTGGGAATACAGGAAAAATGCAAGTGTTAGACACCCACAGGTGAGGACACGGGACACCCAGGAGCTGGAAGCAATCATTTAGTCAGAAGTCGGCACACAGTCGCCTCCACGAGTCACGGCACAAAGCGGCAAACCCCAGAGCTGGGTTAATAACCCCTCAGCTCCGCTCCAAAACACGGGGGGAGAGAACCCTCCAGCATCGGTTTCACCAAGTCTTTTCAGAGACAGAGCCATCAGGCAAAGCTCCCGGGTTTCCTTCGGAGAAAGGAGGTGGCACGGTGACAGGCGAGCCGACGCTGAGCTCAGGCCGATCTTCAGGCACCCGCGGAGCAGCGGGACCACGGCAGGCTGGCCAGGCCCGCTCCTTCCTCCCAGAGCAGTCATCGTCACAGAAGCAGCGAGCTTCTTCCAGGTGGGTCCTCACCGTCACACCGGCCAGCCTTGGGGAGCATAGCTGTTCCCCCCCAAATTCTACCGGCCACCCACACCACAAGCAGTTCCGTCACCAGGAGCTCCTGCCCCGCTGCCCAGGGTGGGCCTGACAAGACCTTCAGTACCGGCGATCTCCCAGCGCCGCCGCCCTTTGCCAAGAGGAGGGAGATGGATCGGTGACCACCTGAGGTTCCCTCCACGTGCTACTGAAAACACCCGCCAGAATAAACAGCAATTTTACTCTTGGCTGGATGAGGCAGCCCACGGGTCCCACAGGACGTCTACTGGTCACTCTTTTAACAGCCATCCCCACCCGTGGGTTAAATTAGTGAGAGATTCTTACTCCTCAACCCCCCACGTACAAATTTGACCAGCAGGAAGGAGAAAGCATCGCTCTGTGGCACCAGGTTTTAGTCTCTCCTCCACGGAACACGCATGCAGCGCAGGACCTCGGCCAAAGGCAGGCAGAGCAGCCCCCCCCGGCCTCCAGTCTGGTTCTGTCCCTTTCTGTGGGAGCTGGGTTAACGCCAACCAGTTTACCCAATCTAGGCGAGTTCTGACCTGCCTCAATTCCTCAGCCCAGGGCTCTGCACAGCCACGTGAACAGGAGCTTACAAAGCAAGAGGCTGCAGCAGCAGCCATGGAAGTGAAGGAGCCCCGGAGCTGATTTTACAGCAGCACCTCGGAGCGCCCTCCCAGGCAGGTACTTCTGAGAGTCTCGGACTCCTTACCGGCTGCCGGCTCTGCAGTCCCACTCCTTGAAGTTTCTTGTCTTCTCGAGCCAGCAGCAGGATTTTGCCTTCTGTCCCAACCTCACGTTCACCTGACAAAAGGACAATGGTTAATTCTGGCAGTGGCTACGGCAAGTCCTGACGGTACCAAAACCTGACAGGTTGGATCACGGTTCAAAGCTGCACCAGGGGAGGTTGAGACCGGACATTAGGAAGCATTTCTTCACTGAAAGGGTGGTCAAACGCTGGAACAGGCTTCCTAGAGAGGTGGGCGATGCCCCAGGCCTGTCAGTGTTTGGATAATGTCCTTAGTAACACGCTTAACTTTTGGCCAGGCTGTTGGACTAGAGTCACAGGTCCCTTCCAACCGAAACGGTCTGTTCTCCCCCTGCTGAGCTCCTAACAGCATTCCTCCAGACCCCAAGACGTCAGATGCAGCAAGGCAGGGCAGTAATCAGACCCCCCCCAGTCTTAAACTGCTGGATAAGGCTCAATTCCTCCGCAGGCCGGGAGCGCTCTGTTCTGGTGACGCAAGCGGTCGTACACGGGCACAGAGCAGCAAGCCACGCACTCAGGGTTACTGTCACAAACCTAAGCAGTTTGGGACAGGGGAAAGAAGATGGATTTTAAGAGAGAGATTCTTACTAGGAGCTTTTTCAGGCGTGCCCAGGTTCAGCGAGTTGTCGGCAGCGCCCACGGCGATGCCGTTGACGGGAGAGCCGCAGTCAGCGACGACGCCCAGACAGGCGGATTTCCCGCAGTCCCAGAGACGGGCGGTGCCGTCTCTAGAGCAGGAAAGGACATTCCTTCCCCGATCCACCACGGCAGTGTCCAAAATACCTGCATCAGAGCAAAGGCTGCGTTGGGGCAGGCAGCGGGGAAGGCAGGCGGGCAGGCGAAGCGAACTCCACCCCAAAGTGCCACCAGTGACCAGCCCAGCCGTGCAGGGCACAACAGCATCTAGAAGGAGGGGTACGTGGAAGGCACCAGGCAAACCCTACAGAGCAGGAGCCACCCCCTGGCACAAAGGTAAGATATTGCCAATAAAGCGATCGGCTCAGTCTGAGGTGTTGCCAATAGAGCAGCTGCTGCTGAGTGCCCACCTCCAAAATGAGCCTCTAAGCTGGGCAGAAAACAGTTGGGCCCAGCAGCCTTAAAACAGAGCCAAGTCCAGCTCTGGATAATCCCAAAAGGTGCGTGGGGCAAGCAGCATCCACACTATCCAGCTACAGCAACACCAAAAGAGCAGCGTTTGCAGGTGCCAGCATCCCCAAACTGCTTCATTTCACTGTGGGATGTCGAGTCTAGAGCTGCAAAGTGAGGCAGCGGTTTTTTTTGGAAGAGAACAGTCAGATGGTTGGAAGATTTAATTGATGCTTTCC